GGAGCTGATATTGCTGCTTAGCAGTGTGTTTTCAGAAACTACTGGGCTGAAAAGGCAATAAGCAAGCAGTAGCTTTCAGATAAGGGTATGCATTGAAAGAAAGGCAGTATAGGAGAGAAGGAGTGCAGTTCTGTGGTTATATTTTAGCATTATAACTGCAATTACATTTTAATTCTAAGTAGCCTGGAATATCTGAGTATTAAACATAATGATTAGCTGAGGCCAGCAAAGGTTACACTTTTTCACGTTTTTGATCTTGTACGCTTCTTGAGGACCCTGTTCAGCTACATGAAACTCATTAGCAACCATAACCTGACCTCTCTAAATAATTCTGGACTTACTGGAAACCAACTGGGTATGCCACTGGTGATTTGATGGGGCTGATGGTGGGTAATCACTATGGAAATTTGTTCATTAAATGGGCACCCTATCAGAGCAGCTTATTAAGAATTTATAAAAAGCACTATTACAGTAACGTGATCTCTGGGGCACCGCAGTACTTGAGTGCAGAGCCTCTGTGCAGTGTAAATGCACACAGTGAGTTTCATTCTCAAATACTTATTGATGGGCACTGCAAACAGCCTCAGCTCAGTCTTCCTCACAACCAGGTACCCTGTCCTTACTGAGCTCCGGAGCAGGAAGGCTGATCTGAGCAGAACAGGGAAGTAGGAGGCTGAGGGGAGAGGCTCTTGATGTAAGTGAAAGTTTAAAATAGTTTCTAATAACATGTACAATGTGCACTTAGAAGGCTGCACAAATCATACATAAAAATCCTACATATGTCTGTGTTAGTTCCATTATTTCAAGGGTGGTATTTTCCTATCCTGTAGACCTTTCTGCAAAAGAATTTCATTGTGAATAGTTGTTCATTCTTCTACGAAATTGACTGTGAGATGCATGTGATATCTATTTTAAAATATGGTTCAGAATTACCTGCTACTCAGTGCCTAAATATATATTTCACATTTATGTCTGTGTTTGTATATAATGAACACATAATATTTTCCTTTTTTATTTTTATTACATATTTTGTGAAAACATTCAATAAGAGAACTATGATAGAAAGGGCAAAAAGTGCTACTTGTGAGGAGGAGTCACTTTCTTTAAGTGACTTAAAGAAAGGTCACTTACAGGAACTGAGAGCTTTTATGAGACTTTATCATTTTGCTGACAGGGTCAGCTTTATATTGATTGGCTGGGTGTTCTGTTTAGTTACTTGAGGGCCAGTTATTTGAAGAAACCTGTGTAAATATCCAGCCAATGTTCTTCATACCCCTGCCCTATTTCAGCATTTTGAGTTGCTTACTGCATTGTATTTTGCCAAACAAATATGAAATAAAGTTCAGGTATTTGATTGCTAGTGTTTAAATTCAGGTTATCGTACCATACCATTGTTTGTTAAATTTACATGAATCTCTTATTGTAGAAAAGGTTGAAGATTTGATCTGTTTTAAATCATGTGTTTCTGATGCATAAAAGTATTTTTTATTGAAAAATTTTATGAGGTATTTTTCCAGTTCTTGAAAATTATTTATCACCTGCTTTCATGTCAGGCCCAGGTGGCTATGGGTTTATGAGACACTAATGCCCTAAGCAAAAATAAAGGAAGCACAAGCTTGGTCCCTGTGTGAAGGGAAGCCAAAGTTTCCCATGACATTCCGTGCTCTGGTGCTGCATCTTTAAGTTCTTGTGAGCCTTTAGCACTGCTGAGTTTTTGATGGCTGTGGTAAACTGGGGTTGGCATGGGGAGGAAAGAGTTAGGCAGGTGAGCTGAAGGTTTTCTTCCTTCAGGTAGTGAATGAGTAGGTGAGTTGGGATGTGTCTGCATTACATTTGTGTCCATATCCTTCCACCACAAAGGGTATAAAACTTCATGCTGGGTCTTTCTGGTCTGTGCAGAGTGCACTGAAGATGATGGGGATTCCAGCCTGGTGCTGATGTGGCTTGGTGGTCAGAAGTACAGCGGTAAAGCTGAGCTGTGGCATCACACACGTGTGCCAGGGCTTTGTCCTCCTGCTGCTGCAAATGTAGGCATGTGCAGCAATGGCAGCAGTAGCAGAGCAGGGGCAGTGGGATGTTATGGTATTCAGAAGTTGGTTATATTTTTTAATCATCTTTGTCCTTATATAACAAGGCATAATAAAATTACAGCTTTTAAGGGCATATTTCATTAGTTTAGAATTGAAAAAATGCACATCCTTTACATAAGAAGGTTGCACATATGAAAATACTGCAGTGAAAGAGAAATATATGGAATATGTAATTAATATTAATTGCTTGCATTAAGTGATTTCATCTGTCTGCTGCCTTGGTTAACGTCATTACGTATATTCCTGCTACAAACAGTCCTCACAAACTAAAGACTTCAGTTATTAGACCTTGTTTTAAAAGAATACAAGTAAATCTTCCTTAAGTAGTTGTTTACTGCAACTTAAGTTTTATGGGTCTCTGTGCATCCTAAAACAATTTATTACTTGTTTAAGAAGAAAAATCACTTGAAACCTCCCACAACATAGATGCACAGCATCTTTTAGGGGGAACTTCTGTGTTTTGGTTTCGTGGGGGCTTTTTTGTTTGTTTCAGTAATGAGCCAACTTTTGCAGATTCATGGTTTTGCACTTTTGAAAGCAGGATGCACTCCCTGCATCCAAGGCTGCTTGCACTTGTTGCCTTCCTGGCAAAATTTATTCCTTCTGTACTGCATCTTCTTAATATAGGCCCTGAATTTCTCCTTGTTTTCCTCTGGCTTCTGTAGCTTTGTCTCCATTTATTCTGTCAGACAGAATATATTGGAAGGCTTTTCCCTGTCAGTAACCATTTCTACAGAGTCATCAGTTCATCTTTTAAACCAGCTCTGTGCTTGCAAGTCACGGCCCCTTTGCATTCTTCTGTCCCTATTAAAGCAACTCCCAGAATAAGTACTGAACTTAGGCAATAATAGGAAATCTTGGGAAATAACAGTAAATTATTTAAGCAAATAGCTTTGGAGAAACAAGTATTACTTGGTAGTAACTTGTGCAGAACCATCTTATCACTATCTGAGCACAGTGCAGCCAACCCACAGTCCTTGTTCAGGGCTACAGCCCCATTATGTGCTGTCAGCTGGCCTTGCTCTCTGGCAGAGAGAGAACTCTTTGCTTCATAGTTTTGATTGTCTCTATCTTGAAGACTTTCTTATTGGCTTAGGTGCTTTCAAGCCCACTTTGTTGAGTAGGACTTATGACTTGTTTTTTGGTTGGGTCACTTTGGGGTTACTAGAGCTCTTTATCCAGGTGCCATTGATTTCTGAAGGGCTGTGTTCCATGTCAGGTTAAAGGGCTGGACATAACTCCCTGAGATTTAGTGTTTCAGGCAGACATACCTTCAACCTCTTTCCCCAGATAACCTCCTGGAACCTGGATAAAGCAAAGAAGGCAAGGCTTGCACTCCACAGTGGTACTTCTGCTGCAGTGGTCTGTCTCACTTCTTCCCTCCGAGGGTTTCTGGATTTATTTTTTTTTTTGTTACAATGTTAGAAGCCTTATTCCCTCTTCACATTTTGTGTAGTGTTTCCCACTCCTGCTCAGGAAAGCGATCCTTTCAAAAGTATTGGGAGGACACGCAAGCAGGAGATGAAGTTCTGGAACACTTGCAGCACCACCAGGTGTCTCAAATATTCAGACAGTTTCAGAAGTTGGTCATTTCTTCACCTCTCTCAGAAGTGCTTTCTGTGGGTTTTTTATGTTTACCTTTTATGTGTTTTCATTTTTCTGTTTTGCTTTTGGAGATTCTGTTTTTATGCTCGCAGCTGGCAGTATGTGGGGTTAAAGTCCTTGTTGCAGATGGGAAATGGGCTGATATCAAACTGAGTATTAAACTTATTTCCATGTACTGCTGACCTTAAAATCAAGAAGAAGCTGTGGGAAATTGCTTTCTATTTAAGCAAAATCTCTTTGCACTTCCATGGGGGCTTTTTTGTCTTCTAGCAGTAATGTTTACAGGCAGCTTTTTTTGTTGCATTTGTTTTTCTAGGTTATTAATATCTGCTAATCTGAAAAGGAAACAACAAAAACTACCAAACCAAACAAAGCTCCCTGTTTGTGAGCCATGCTTTTATGAAGGCTGTGCCATAATCCCTGTTATTTCATCCCAGAGTTTGTCTTAAAATTAGTGATGGAAACAGCTTAATGAAGGCAAGGATACAGGACAAGTGTCCCACTTACAGCTGCAGTGCACATGATTTTAAGGATATTGGATTTGAACATCATTATACAAATACGTTCACGAAACTCAAGATGCTGTTTGGAAGCTTCCATTGAGGATTTGTATAAGCATGTCGGCAGAAATTCAGATGGGAGATGGAGGGAAGGAAAAGGGGTTGTACTGCAGGGTAGAAGCCTTTTCCTGTTGAAGTGTCCTCAAAATCTAAAGGAAAATGGCCTTTTCCAGTACACGCTTTTCTAGAGCAATGTGGAATATTTTTATTTTTTAAAAGTTTGGTGGTTTTCTAATGTCTGAAGTCTCTTATTCTTGATCAGATGTAATGTAAGTCACAGGGGAATACTTAAAAAGAGTGAACTTTCTGCTTTCTAGAGTTCATATTTTAAAAGACTTAAAATATTATTTTCACTTAAGATGAATATGCATCCCTTTAGAGAAATAGTAAATGTTCCATCTTTGCTTTGATACCAAATACAAGATTTTTGTATAAGATGCAGTTATTGCTTGGTCTTAAAGGACAGTGATTTGGTTTTAATTTGTTCCTTCAGGTAGTTGTTATTTTAATTCTATTTTAAAAAGCCCGAACAGTAAAATATGACATATTCAGTTTATTTCCTGGATTATAGTGATATTAATGAAATTTAATTGGTTTATATAAATAAAAAATAAAACTGGACCTTTCTGACCTGCAAGTATATAGTATGTCTGAAAAGAATTATTGTTGTTGCTTTTTTCCAGGACTGTTTCCTTAAGACATTCCAGTTGCTTGTTTTCATGACTTTGAGCCTATTTAATCAGAGATGGAGCAGATGGACTGCAAACCCTACCAGCCACTATCAAAAGTTAAACATGAAGTGGATCTAACTTACACAAGTTCTTCAGATGAAAGTGAAGATGGTGGAAAGCAAAGGCAGTCTTATGACTCAAGAGAAACTCTGAATGAATATAGCCAAGAGCTAAGACTTAACTATAACAGTCATAGCAGAAAAAGAAAAGCCATCGACCAGTCCACACAAGGTAAATAATTCATTTTATCTACTAATTATGATTATTAGTTCCTGATTGTGCACGATGAAACAATATCAGGAATTGAGCAAACATTTTGTTCTCAAAGGCTTATAGCATCAACCCACTTTTTACCATTTTTAATCGTACTGCAATATGAGAAATTTTGGATTTTTTTTTATTGAAGAAAAAGTGTTTTTTTAACCAGATGGACTGACTGGTATTCTGGAAATCATCACATGCTAACTACAGACAAATATTTTCTTTAGTAGGAGCTACTCTTAGTAATTTTTAGTGATTAATTATTTACTGCCTTTGCATATGTTGGGTGCATTTTGCTATAAAATCAGCATTGAGGCTGCAGGCTATCTCTGCATGTGCTTACAAAGCCTGTGAATTAATTCAAATACAACAATTCTCTTAACATTTCTGATCATATAAATAATTGAGTAATTTAAAAACTGAAGTTAATTAGTGTATTGTAAGAAAAAAAAAAACAAGAGTTAAGTTTCTATTTTAGTCTTTTGCATGATTTGGACAAATATTTGAACAGTGATGATAGCTGAACTAAGGTTAGGAAAAGCTACTATTTGATTAGAGACAGAACCTAAAGACTAAGACTAAAGAAATGGAAGGAATGAGCAGAATTTACTGCAACATTTCCTGACAGACTCTGTAAACCCACATGCTGCTTTTGTACTCAATGAACAACAGGGCTTATCTGATGCTTTCAGCTCTGTCCCCCGTCCAGGGCAGGATGGTGGGACAGGGAGAATATTTGTAGGAATCAGTGTATTAGAAGCAGTGAGAGTCCTGTCCCTTAAAGGTAACAGCAGCAGGGTTCCAGGGCCAGTCACTCCCTGCTCTACAAGGAAGTGGTTCAATTACATTAAAGTGTGGCCAGTACTTACCAACTAAAAATTATGGTACTTATTTAAAAAAAAACAAACCTAAAATCTTCAAACAAGCCACATCACACACACACACCCTGCCCCCAAAGCCCTCACTCAGAGAAGTCTTCTTCAATTTTTTGAAGATAAAAATAATTCTGTTTTTCTGCAGAGAAATGAAAAATAGGCTTTTTGAAGATGGAAAATTTGTCTCTTCTGTGATATGTAAATTAATGTGAAATTTGGAACACCTGTGGTATATAGTTATTGCAGACTTTTTTTTTTTTACTGTAGATATTCTGCTTCAAGTTAACACCCATGATACTGGTGTTGTCTGAAAGTATCTGTAATTCACAGGAGTAGTAGTACTTGGCTGCCTCAATCTATGTGCATATATTCCCTCCAAAGAGCTACAAAACTGCTATTTCTGGGATGAAAAAGTCATGAACATAGATTCAACAGAGGATTGTTTAGAAAACATATTTGTTTGTTGTTTGTGACTTTATCTTGAACATGCTATGAGAGTTGAATTAACTGAGATATGGCTGTATTATTGTACCTCTGGGTGTTCATGTTCTTGTAGATCTCCTTAGAGCAACTCCCTCCTTGCTTGTACCTGTGGCTGTGAAAGCAAAACCTCAGCATGGACCTGGGCCTTGAAGAACACTGGGTCTGCAGTGCTTTGCTGCTATTGATACTCCTATCAACTGCAGCATCACTGGCTGGGCACCTCTAAAAGGGCATCAATCACTACTGTAGGCATTAGAAACCAGCCTCTGTGTCGTGTTGAATTTATTCTTCCAGAACATTACCTTTGAAAGCAATCGCATTAATAATTTTGGAGAAATGGCCAAATTAGTGTGCATTTCTGTAAGACGTTGTCAGGCATGAACTTAGCTCAGATACTCAGGAGTGACCTGTAAGGAATCAGTTATGTGCATATGCAGACCAGAAAGTATTTTGCACTTACGTTGTATGATTATTGTGTTGAAATTATATGCCCCAAGATTTTTCCATTCAAATTATTTTTTATGAGATACTGTATGAATTTTCAGATCTTCTATTTTTCAAACACTGGTGTTTTTCTTTTCAATGAAGGACAGTCTTTTACTGCTTCAAACTGCAGGATGAGGCTTGATATCTGTGTTTGTAGAAAATTTACTTAAGCTTCTTAGAGTACTTTGCCAATACATAGGGCAGCTCTTAAATATTTCCTTATCTGCTAGGCACCTTCTTCCCTGAATCGTGTAGGTCAGTATATTGTTATTTAATACTGTATTATTCACCTCAAAACTTTTTTGAAATCCTATTCATGTGCACTGATTTGTTATGATGGAGTTGAACCTGTACTAGAAATCATAGTTTTCTCTTCTCTTATGTAATGAATTTAGTTTGGAATTGCTGACATCGTAGTTGCACTGCCAAGTATATCCATTTGGCTTCTCTGGAATTCATCCTGGCATCTTTCTAGTCATTTAAATCATGCTTTTTCTCTGCCACAAATTGAACCTAAATATTTGGCCTGGCAGATTTGGAATATAAAACTGGTGGTGCTCAAAATTCAAAGAGCAAAACAGTTTGTAAAGCTGTGTGTGAAATTTCAGACTTCAGGCAGATACGATTGCAGTTCTAGTGCAATCAGTCTGTTTCCAAAAGGATCCCAGGTTTCACAGTGTGGGACCTGGGTGTTCCTGGTGATAGTTGTTTTTTACTCAGTCAACACGAGGAAAAAGGTCCAGGTGTGAACTATGAATCTGGATGAATCCATAAAAATGTAAACAGATTTGTTTTTAAAATCCATTATTTTCTAAAATGCCTCATCAGAATCTTTAACAAAGCTGTTGTTCAGCGTATCTTCAGAATGTAGAAAAAGAAATTTAAAAAACAAAACCAAAACCCCCACAGCACCCCCTTCTCAAAGGGGATGGTTCTGCAAGGAGTGCTGCATCATGCCAGTGCTGGAGACTTGCCTAAAATAATTCTACCTATAAAGGCTGCTGGGGCATCAAAAGTTGTATCCCCAGTTAGTGCCATAATGCTCTTCTTTAGTGGCATAATATTCTTCTCTAGCTAAAGCTGAAATAGTACCCTGTGTGTGATGAATTAACAGAGTGCACAGTGAGGATAACACCCATGAACCTCATCCTGGAAAGGTGTGAGAACAGACGAGAGCAGTACACACAGTAGCAGTCCTGTGTGGAGTGATAATGGTGACTGTGAGATGGCATTCCAAGGAGCTCTAATGATGGAATGTGAGAAGAAACGATGTCAGAATAAAATCATTAGTACAGAGAAACTTCTAACAGGAATGAGTGTAGGGGTGTGAGTACTGATCTGGTTAGGTTTGTGAGAAGAATCGGCAGTTCAGATGTTTATGGAAATTAAAAGAATTTGAATTGGCTACTTAAGCAAGATAGGTTATATAAATTAGATTGGGCAGTCATCTGAATGTAGTAAATAGCTTCAGAGTAAAATGTTATTTGTTGCACAAAATACTGCTGTATCTCAGCCATTTCTGTGAATATTTTTGTTATAAACAGTTTGTCTGTTTCATTATTAGTGTCAATACTGAGGAATTATTTCTGTGAAAATGTTCAATAGAAATCTGGGATTATGTAAAATTATAGTGCATGGGTTTTCTACGTTTGCATATATGGACAATCTGTATTCAACCAGAATTTGACATGACATGAACTTAAAGGAAGCTTTTCAAGAGTTCATCCTGCAGTATGGAAAAGCACTGTTAGTGTTTTGCAAAACATTTTTTGTGTCATTTTGAAAGGTTATGTGATCATATAAGTAGAAAACATTGAAAACAGAATCCAAATACAGAATACTTAACTGCTTACGCTTAACTCCTTACAGTTCCCAAAATTTTATCTCAAATGTTACACTTCAGAGATGTTGGTTGGTCTTACAGGAAAAAATATCAAAGAAAAAAAAACCTAAATAAGTACATAAATGATCTATTGATCAAGCAGATTTTTTACATGCTGTTCCTCAGGTTAAGTACTGGTGTCCTTTATATAGAGTCCAGTCCTGAATTCTGTGTCTGGTGTTACACTTGCATCAGAAACTTACAGTTATCTGACAATTGGAGATTTACTAAATAACACCACAGACTCTTTCAAGCCCAACTAAATTTTACTCAACTAAATTTTGCTCATTGTGAGCAGGTACAAAAATCTCATGATGAAGCATCATTGACTCCCAAAGAGTCAGTTCTAAGTACATAATGTGCATATCTAAAAATGCATTATCTTAGTCTGGATAGGTTCAGAATCCTTCTTGTCTGAAGATATGTAAACCTGCAATATCTCATCCTGGCAAGATCCTCTTGCAAAGTAAATTCCTGGCAGACCCAATATCATACAGTTTGGAGATATTGGCAAACAGAGTAAATTAATTCTTGGAAGAATTGGTAAACATACAGTTTTGTCCTTGAAAGAGATGAAGTAGTAGAATTGGCAGAAGTTGTCAGAAATGTTGATCTTCTAGGAAAATCATTGATGGACCTGGCTGTGAGGAAGAAAAAGTTCTTATAGATGCACCATACGTAGATTGCCTCTCAAGCTTATTTGTGACATGTTTTCATAATTAGAACTGTTTTCTCCCACAGCTTTCTCTGTTTCCACCAAAGCAAATATGAAAGGAGCTGTACTCTACAAATACTGGAAGTACAGAAAAGCTTTCTGGCTTTTAGGTTAATTATAGATTTGTAAGAAAACACTAGTTTAGAGGAATGAATTCCTGATAGGATAATTATCTGGGATTGAGTCATTGGCATGATAAAGTTTATTGATTGTTAACAATATGAGCATATGGCAGTAAATTTCTGGTTAGATAAACGTTCCTTTCCTGGCAAGTATATTGAACTGCATTATGAGCAAGGCAAAATGGAGTTGTTCCTCACAGGAGAATCCAACAGTAAATAATTTCTGGTAAATCCATGTGAGAAAAATCAGCATTGCTAGTATTGTAGGAAATGACAGAATGCCTCAAAAAATTGGCCTATTTTGCTTTTAGCCCATTAAAAAGTAAGGAAACCCATTTTGTGGACTAAAGCTCCAGATTGGTGACATGTTTTCTAAAAAGTGCATATAAGATTATCTTCAGGAGCAG